CTTTCGACTTGGGCACACACTGGAGCGCACCCATTATATAACAGGGAGCGGGCAGCACGAATTCTCAATTTATCACTCCAGTTTGAAACTCAGAAGTCAAATAGGACATCCCAGGACACATGCAGTCAACGGTGTAACCCCTGACCACCTGCCCAGAACAAGGAAGTACAGCTTGACCTTTCTGCAGCCTCCTACAACCTGTTTTTATGCAAAGAATGAAACCAGGCTCAATAAGGAACTGAGTAGAATACGAAAAACTTCCCCCACAGTATTACAGCCTATTTATAATTCACGGGGAAGGGAATTCTCAAAATAGCCTATTCTTGAACTGAACTGACAGAAATATCTTTATTCTGAAAGCTAAAAAAAAAAAAAAAGTCTGAATTGATAATCTATGAATAATGGCACTGCTCATCTTCGCAGGCTCTCATGAGGGGAGGTACCCTCCTATTGTCCTCTCTCGGCACCAAACGTGGTCATCTTGACCTTCAACTCTATCACAGGGGCCCTGTCAGAGTAACAGATGAGAGGCCCAGCACTCAAGCTTATCGAGTTTCACTGAGCTGGCACCGAATGCGAATGGCTGCACCCAAACACTCCCGTCACCCCCAGGAAAAGATGAAGGTATCGCATAATTTTCTTCCCTCGGGGCTTTTGTCACAGATTTCTTTCGTAGGTTATTTGAAGTTTCGTGAAAAGAGAGACTGAAGTCGTGTGTTTTTGTGAAGTCGTGTGAAGTCTGAATTCTAACACGTCCTTGTCACGGGATGTTGGATGAACAGCAATACAGGGACTTGTGAAACGTACTCACCCCAGTGCTGAGGTTACCACTGGTAACGCAGCCAGCCAGACAGGGGTTAAAGTACGTAATCCCATCCGATCCACAGACTGGCTCATACTCGTGTATTTTACAACCACAGTTGACATTGCAGCTTCCGGTCAGGTTCCTGTGAGGCATGGTGAGGGAAGGCCTAAGACAGAAAAGAGGCAGGTCTCAAGCGACGTTTACTAAAATAAAACTAAGAGGGAAGTTCTTGATATCACATGATCTGCTCCTTCTGGAGGAGATATCCCCATTAAATCAAACCTATGGTGCTGCCGAGCAGCTGTCCTGGATACTTATTTGTATGACTTCAAAACAAAACATAAAGAAAAGTGTCGCAGTTTTCTGGCACCACAGATGCAACGCCTTTGTACCAAAATATCTGTCCCGCCTCGATCCCACCCTCCACCTTGGCACCGTGGAGCTCGTCTCCACATCTGGGCTCAGCCGTTCTGACCCTTGTATAACTACTAACTGCAGCCGCTCGGTTCTGTTTCTCAGCAAATCTGGGCCTCGGTGTCTTTATCTGTAAAACGGAGGAAATATTTTTGGGGGCCAAATCAACCACATCGTTATGAGGGCATAACCACAGAACCTGTCAGTCGCAGGTGCCAACACAGGTTCCTCCGACCAAAACCTTTCCTTGTTCTAGAACAAATTACCAAAGAAAGACACGAGACTTTAGAAAATCCAAAGGAAGTGATTTTTGAAGATCAGGAATCATATCCCTAATCTGACCCGAGAAAAAAGATTAAACAGTCCTCCCCGCTCAACAGTGCCCAGATGTGGATTCGATTAAACGTGGTGGGTTTTGTTTTCTCATGAGATCATGGTGTCTGATTTACCAAAACAAAAATAATAGAATACAAAAGCTCTAAAATCGATCCGGGTAACAAATATAAAAGGGCGGGGGGTGGGGAAGGGAAGGCAAGTCAGAATACAGGGCTGTGGAGAGAAGTATAAGAAGTATAAACAGCTATGGAAGAACAGAAGCCGTCAGGCACCCATAGGAGACCCGCGGAAGGGCGAGAGGGGCTCTGTTGTGCTCACACCCCGTGACCGCTTTCGCCTGCTTTTGTGTCCACCATTTGTAGCTGTCACTGATGAAATACTGTTCCTAAAGTCACAGGAGTTAGCAACAGCAGATCTGCCTATCTACTCACCAGCCACGCATTCGACAAGTATTTTGGAATGTCTGTTCTATGCCACGACTTATATTTAATGACTATGTTGAATCACCACTCATCCAGCAGCTGGCCCATCCCAACCATATGTTGTATTAATCTATAAACATGAAGTTTTGTTTGTTCAAAGGTTTTTTGCCTGTGGCCTGTTTCACACTTTGATAACTGAGTCCTCAAATATTAATGGAAGGAACAGAATTATACAATATTTAAACCTTATCAAAAAACATTTCAAAAAAGGCAAAAGCAAAATAAACTCTGTTCTTCATATATGTCACTCTACAGAAGAAATTTTATCATAAGAAACTGATAATTATTATGCTTACAAACTCTTAGAGTCTTACAATTTTAACTTTTAAATATACCTTCGAAAATGTGATTTGAGACCACAGGTAATTCCTTGTGGCCCCTGGGCCCCGCTCCAGGTGACATTTGGCAATGTCAGGAGACATTTTTGTTTGTCACAACTGAAGATGTACTACTGGCATCTAGTGGGTGGAGACCAGGGATGCCTCTAAATATCACACGATATACAGAACGGCTCCTCTCCCACAATAAAGAATGAACTGACCCAAGTCTCAGTAGTGCTGGGGCTGAAAAACCCTGTTCTAGACCCACCACCACATTCCACAGATGACAAAATGGAGGTCCAGGGAGGCCAGATGATTCACCCTGAAGCTGACCAGTGCTGGGTGAACTGGTACCATGTGAAAAGCATTCTGTGTGCATTACTCTTCTCTTCACTAGTTCCCCAAGAACTCAATGCAAGCCATGACCAAATAAAAGGGCTTTGAGATTCCTGCGTGCTGAGTCACTAAAAATGACAGGCTTCAAATGTAAACATATGCTTATTACGGTTGCTATTTGGAAGTTACGAGGAATTTCTTATTAGCCGCATGCTTTGTGTTCATTTATGACAGCCACAGATTCCAAACCCCCCTCCTTTACTCAATAGAAAAGAGCCTAAAGGTAATATCAACAGACGCTCAAAACTGGTAACAGGAAGGCAAAGCTTTCCTGAGCTCCAGAAACAAAGGCACAGTCCCAGGTCATCCTCGGGTGTGTCTGCTTTCCTCATGCAATCATGGTGTCTGATACAAAGAAACAATACAATACGAAAAGCTATAAGAAATCAAAACAGGCAACAAATATAACTAGCAGTTATATTTGTTGGGCATTCACAAAAATGTCAGGAGGGAAAAAGGCTATACTGGCACAAAAAATAAAGATGCCAAGGTGGTTAATCCCTGTGCTGAAAAAAAAAATAATTTTAAAGAATAATTATGACTTGTTTTATCATCACGCGCTCTCTAGAAAACAGACTGAATACAATAACAATGCAAGTATTTAAACCTGAGTAGCATGAAGCAACCTCTCCTCAGTCTGAAGTGAACCCCAATGCATAAGAGCAGCTATATAATGAGCTTATCCTTGTGTAAAGGGACTGTGCATCACCTTTTCCAATAAACAAAAGCATTTTTGACAAGTTAGCCTTCCAAATAAGAGGCTCATGTTAACTCAGAGTCACTGTAAGTGTGAATTCCTCCAAGGAACAAGGCCTCAGTAATAAATGCCTTGTAACTGCATGGTTCAAGCTGCAAGCCTGAGAGTCATCCATGATCTCTTACCATAAAAATCATGGCATTATAGAATTAGAGAGATGGGAGAGGTCTCTGAGATGATCTAGTACAACTTTTTTTAAAGAATAGGAAACTATGACAGATATAATGACATGTCCCACAATCACTGAGGCTTCAAGAATGCCAGCCATGGGGAGACAACAAAAAGGGGAACGAGAGCAAGCTTGCTGCCCAATCTTAATTAAATTAATTACTTAAGGATCAACATTTATGTAAAGTCATATACAATGGTAAAGCAGATAGTGGTTTAACATAAGTAAAAATCTCTGCCACGTGGTCATTACAGCTGGGTATGTAAGGACACAGTTGCTCTCAAACCACACACATGCACGTACACACATTATGTCACTTCGTTCCACCTCAAGACCTAAAGAACTCTTTAACTTCTCTTCTGATATCTCTACTGGTCTCCATAAATCAAAGAGGAGCACCTTAACCTTTTTGCTTCCTCTTAAGTTTCTCCCTATTAAAAGACATGACAAGTAGAAATCTATGTGTCTTATGGTCAAACCACATGGATTAAAAGACTATGATTCACACATAAAAAAATCTTTTTAGCAAAATATACTTACCAACTATAAAAAACTGGTATCTTTCTCACAATTTCTTAACCTTTATCGATTTAACTCAGTCTTCAATAAGATTTTAATTAAAATGTTCCCTTTCAATTCTACTTAAATTCTTGGCTTCATATTAAAATCCTTCTTTGACTATATATAGCTATGCAACTTCAGGCTTATAATTATTATTTTTTGTCACCATCATTATCATTACAACTAACACTAGCAGAGCCCTATTTTTACTCCAGAAATAAATTACCTCATTTATTCCTCATGAGAATTACAGTTATTATTACTGAGCCTCCGTGTTTCATATGAAGAAATTGGAAATTTGAGAAGATAAGCACTGCTAAAGTGCACACAGCTAGTAAGAATCAGAGATGTGTTTAAACCCAGTTACACCAGTCTCTGGAGCGTGTACACTGCACTAGCAAGACGGCTTTGTGTACATGGCCATAGTTTCCTTTCTCTAGCAAGAATCTTCTGGGCGGCTCATCCGCTGCCTTCATCTTTCTAGAGAGAGCTGTAGAGCAGCTTTCATGGCTCTCAGCTGTCATTGTGCCCAAGCCTTAGAGTCGGAAATTGAGCTGGGTTCAATTCCATGTCTACGATTCATAAGCGCTGCGAACGAATCTAAAGAGAGTTCGCATTTGTAGGTCTGAGACCATAAAGTCTCTCTCACGTGATCGTTGGGAGGATTAGATGAGTTAATGTGTTTCCAGTGGTGCCTGGCACAATATAGGCACTATAGGACACAGGTGAGCTTTCGTTATCCACACGTGGCAGAAGCATTAACAAAAAACAATAACAATCACAAATATGAAGATTAAAAAGCCTTTATCGTGCTCTTTTTTTTTTTTTT